CGTGTAACCGAACAGCCAATTACAACACGAATTCGAAATAAAACCACGTCTAAAAATTAATGTCCATACTTCTCATGGCTAATTGAAATTTCATTACACTTCGAGGTTAATACTTCAGTTCAGTACCATAAGCTTCCAATTAATTGTACAAATCAAAGTATATATACCAATGTTCAATCTGAAGGGTTAATAGACTGCTGTTAAGGTAAATTGTTAAACGCATAAGAGATTCCAGAGATACAGGAACTGTATAATTGATATATTGTCGGATAGAGTAAGCCTGGATTCTAGAACAATGATACACCATATTCGCCCAAGTCTGTTCAAGAGTTACTTAATCTCAGCTTAGAATCCCAGAGGTAATTCCACGTAAGGGGCACCGCAGGAATAGTATCTCTTACAAGTATATATTCTTACGAAAAGTCAACATCGATGAAAATAAACTCGCCTTAAAATTAAACAAACATTGCCGTATCAAAAATTAGCTCAAAAATACGCTCGAAACAGAGAAGAGATTTGAAACGCAGAGAATAATGATATTGACATTTATTCGGATCGACTGGTTTTCCGAGGTAATAAATTTGTCTCGTAATTCTTTCGATACGACGCATTTTTTATAATAACTTCGAGCCGTATAATAAAACATGTTTATAAATCCATTTTATAATATCGTACGACGACAAAGAACATCAAAGCGTACGTGTATACTTTATAGCTATTTTCATTGATACTGCTATCCGGGCTTTTGATATTTCACAAAAATTAAAGTTTCGCATTTCCTTTGTATCGAAAATTTTGATAAAGCTAAAACCAGTAACAATGCCGAAATATTAAATCTGTTATTTTACGATAAAAGAAAAGTGGATTAAAAAAAGCTGCTCTGGATACAAAGGACCTAGATCAATTTGGTAAATTATTCTTCGTTCACTTAAAATATTACGTCAGGGACATTCGAGCGATTCAACTTATATTATTGCTACATGCTAGATAGAACAATTAGTAGATTAACTTTCAGGGTAAAAATTAAATTCTTCGCAAAATAGAAGGAAGTGAATTATTACCTCATATGCAAAGATTGGTCGTCTCTTGATAGAACTTAGCACAAGTTAGCACAATAATCTTCCATCATCAGGATTTTAAATTTTAAATAAAATCCTTGACATATGATGAATTTCACTTGTTCAGTCAGAATCTGAGTCAAATTTATGAGGTGGTCGTTAAAAACGTTATTTTTGGAAGATTTTGTTAACATATAAAATCTAAAAGCAAATGTTGAAGATACAAGCTCGACACGGGGGAAAATCGTAGAAGTAGAGGACTTTGGGGTCGTATAGACCATTCGTGATTTTATTACAACTTTTGGCAACTCATGCACTTTGGTACTCAGAGCTCTGTGCAGACGAGAAGTTCAATTTACTAAGTTAATAAATAACAACTTGTAGTCACTATCTAACCAATATAAAATTCTATCACTTTTTATGATATAAACAATTTCAAACGACTCTGAATCGCAATTCTGTTACACTACCGTTTCACGTGTGAATGTTTATTTTGCTTCGTATTCTAAATTTAAATAAAATAAATAACACAACCGAAAATATATATTGCAATTAAAATTTTTACTGATACGTTATCTGATATTTCGGATGATTACGAACAATCAACTGTACCATCTATATCAATATTTTTACCATTACGAGGACTTTCCACAAGTGCGGAGAAACACAATAAAAATGTCAACCGTAAGTAATCGTGACAAATGATATCCAGGTTGCGTTTCGCATTAAGTAAGAGAGGATATATTAATTAAATATGTGATGTCAAGTGTTAAATATCAATCAAGTGTTACACAAATGTGAGCCATTAACATTTTGTACGTATAAATTTGAACGTACATTATTTCTTTCAATCTTTTCAAAATACTCTCAGTAAAAGCGCCAGGTCAGTAAAATGTTAATAACCGATTGCCATAAACAACATTAAATTCCTTTTTCAAAGTTAAAATTTATAAAACAAATAATTGAACTATTTACTTTACATAAATTAATCAGCGGACGTCCTATAAACATTCGATATTTGCATTATAAATTCGAATTTGGAGTACATATTGATGGATACACTACAATTCACTCTGCTTGGAATTATTAATTAAAACAGTAATTCTAATTTTGATGTTTCATGCTCTTTTTCTGTTCTCACAATCGTTAAAAAATGTTCCTATAGGTATATTTCTATCTTTCATAATCCAGCAGAAAAACTGAAATTTTCCTTCCAACGTAATAAATGAATAATGTTAAAATCTTTATAGACACTTCATTAAACAGTACCAGAGTCATAAAGGTTGAAGTAAAACGAAAAGACAGGTGGTACAAGAACCCTCCTCTTACCGTCAGTTTTGCAAGCATCCCCTGTTCCCTAGCCAAGGTTTTACCTTCAACCCTTTTCAGTTACGGTACTAGCCCTTTCCTTTTAGCTTGGGGAGTGATAGCTTTCGGAACGTTACATTATACACCAGGAACTCCTTTCGCTGGTACGTCAGTTCATCTTTGTCTCGTTTGACTGTCGGAAAAAGAGAGCTAGAGGAGGAAAGAGCGACGCAAGGGGTGCGACGAGAAGCAGAAAAAAAAAGAAAGGAAAACGAACGAGACCGAGGATGAAGATGGGGTGAAAAGATCGAAAGAAAAGTAGCAGGAAAAACACGATCCCGGGAACAGGGTGCGTGTGTACTCATGATACACAGTGGAAAGCAAAACTGAACCAATAATGCTATTTCTCTCAGAAAACTATTTTTCGTGTTCCCAGATATCCAGATACAGCAACGTTAATATTTACCATTTGTTACGTCAATTTTTATTTCGAAAAATTGTAACAGTAGAGATTCGGAGTGGTTTTTTAATACTTTCAGAAAAATATAACAAATTGTTGAAATAAATAATAATTTTTTAAAACTGATTTCACTATCACAGTTTTGTTCAACCAGTTTTCGAGTCTCGAACCTTCCACGTTCAACGACCACATTTTCCACCATATTTCCCTGTCTCCTTAAAAGTAAAACGTAATCTAACCACTCTTATTTACCCTTCCCGTAACTATCACTGCTTTCTCTCCTTGTCTCGTGGTTTTCGTACAAAACGATCTTGCAGCGTGAAATTTTAATACACCAAGTAGCTCGTAAAGTCTGCGTAACCAAGGCATGAATTTGAAAAATCTGGAACGCTGCGAGATTTCCATGAAGAGTTAAACGTATCCCAGGAAAGCTCGTCGAACCGTGCATTGACAGAGACCCATCTAAGTGAACAACTACCGAGGTGGATTTTTGTGAAAATAGCTTGTACCATCTGGTTCGTTCGATGCTTCGAGGGAGGATCGGCGAAGCTCGTAAAAGTGCTCTTCGAACACGCGACTATAACGAGGTTGTTAAGTGTAAACAGACTGAAATTACACGGAAATTTCCTGTGCAAAGCGAACGAATGACGTGGTAATTTCGGTAAGATAACAGGATAGCTTTCTTTCAGAAATAAAAGTATTCCCTGAATCATAGCGCCGCAGGTCTTAGAGGAATATCAGTTATATTCGATAATAAGCACACCTGGTCAAATTCAATTATACGATTCCCGAGGGCAAGTAATCTAATTTGCACGTCATCAAGTCACGCGGCGAAACTAGTTTGAAGGCCCAGGCATACACAACCGACCGCGTGTATCAAATATTGAAGTTCCTAGATTGCGCTGGACTGCCCTGAGGGACATCAAATAACTGCCAGGTTCCGAAAACGTGAGAAGCCTTGTAGAATTACGATTGTAGTCAATTCCGATCCGGTAAGATTCAAAACGGACCAGCTGGCGTTTCAAGCTAACGTCGAATTATCAATAACCAGAACCCTGTGCATATCATCTGCTCTCCCTTTCATTCGCATTTTATAGTTATAATTTAAAATAATATTTCTTCAAGTAAAAAAAAAAGAGTACAACAACGCATTGTACGATAAAAACAGTGCAGCTCGAAAAATTGCAAAAAGAAAGTCAAAATGTAACCTTTGCGCTGAAAGAACTCGTTTGTGTGCCAAAAAGCAAAAATAATAAAAACAGGAAAACTGCAGTTTCGACTGCAAAGACTGTCAGCCGTGGCGAACACTGAGCATGTTAATATTTTTTCCAAGCAGTTCCACGTGCACGCGTTGCACCGTGCATCCAGTGCATTCCAAAGTGCACTTTGTTAACAATACGCGAATATTTCGCGTTCCCAGACAGAGGGGCTATTTTAACCATCCACCAAGGTGGTCCAGTGTAACGTAAATCTTATACTTTCGCGTGTACAGAAATACTAGATTTTAGTAGAAATTTTAGTACCTATTTCGGCTTTTTTTTTTATGTAAATTAAAAATGAATTGCAACCGCATTTCACGGGGACATAATTGTTTATTGATAATACTTTTCGTTGTACCAGTTTACTATAGAAATGAATTCTGTTCAATTTTATTCGAGTAAACAGGATTATTTGGCTGTTTCCGGCGTAACTGATTATTCGCCTTTGGTGGCGATGCAATTCGTAGAATCGATCAACATGTACATAAACACATCGATACACTATATTTCATGTAATTATGCCTTCAAAACAGTATTGAATTCAGGCATCGTTATTATCAAAGGTAGAGGAAATAATTTTCTCGTTCGTTATGAATTTTCGCAGAGAAAATTGGGAAAAATAAATGAACATTGTCGGACCGTAATCAAATGACAATTCGGCTCACATTTCACTGTGTAGATGCACCTTGATCGTGCGACACAGAAAACGAGATAACCTGCATTTACATCAAAGGAAGCATCACGGCGCATCCTGAGTGAAAATCGCTCTAGGAGGAATTCGAAACTCTGATTAGATCGCGGAATCGATGCAATTCAGAATGCAATGTTCAATGGAAACGAGGATCACGATTGAAATATTGCCTGTAAAGACACATAGTTTTCGTATCGCCGATACCGAGACTCTACCGACGAATCATGGTTCACTCTTCAGATGCTGAGATTCGAGTTTATTTACGAGAGAATTCGAACCGAAAGGTATTGAGGAAACGAGAAAAGATAAATTAATTACGATTCGCCATAACGTTAGATACCGTTTGTTACACCCACTGCATCGAAGCCATTGAAAATGATAGACACGCTCATTGGCGTGTGGCCACAATGGATCGCTTGTATGACAGGTTAGAGAAATTTTCTATTTTTCACTGGTCATCGAACCCTTACATTCTCGATGATTTTCAAAGAAGAAAACGCATCAATTTCTCAGGAGATCAATTTGAAATTTTCTGCAATAGAAAATTAATATTTGCTCAATTATTTCGGTGCGCATAGTCACCCTGTTGTCCGTCACTTTTGGAATGGTGATTGGCTGGACGTCTCCTTACTTAGCCCAATTGACCAGCGACGAAGGATTATTCTTCGTGACAGAGAAGGAGGCATCGTGGGTCGCCTCTTTGATGCCATTCGGACGGATGATTGGTTCCACCGTGGGTGCAATTATTATGGAATATCACGGCAGTAAAATGGCCCTTTTTTCAGCCGGGCTGCCAAACATCATAGGTTGGATTTGCATAATATTCGCCAATTCGGCTGGATGGCTTTACGTGTCTAGAATGTTTGCAGGTGAACGAATCCGTTTCTTTCGTTCACTTCGAACTGTGTAATTGCGCGTCTGACGTCAGCTGGCAATGTGGACGATTTCATTTATCGCAGGCACTTCCATCGGGATCTTCTTCTGCTGTTTTCCCCTGTACATCGGGGAAATAGCAGCGGCGAATATACGCGGAGCGTTGGTCAGCGTTATAATGAACGGGATACCGATTGGAACGCTGTTGGGCAACGTAATGGGCACTCAAATGTCGATAATGTGGTTCGGAATAATCAGTTTAATTCTGAATATGTGTTATGTCATGATTTTCCCGGCACTCCCTCACACGCCCTACTATTACGTGCATCGCAACAATATAGAGGAGGCAAAAAAAACGATTCAATGGTATCATAGAAGATCGATCATTGGAGTGGAACTCGAAGTGATCGGTAGTTACGTCCAAGGCGCCAACGCCATGAACTTGCGCGAGAAACTCGAGCAAATGAAAAAGAAGAAACGGGTGTTCGGCATAGTGCTGCTATTGTTCATCATCATGCAACTCAGCGGATATACCACTGTCATTTTTTACATGGAGATTATAACGACCAAAGCGAAAGTGACGTTGATAGCACCGCAGAATGTCGTGATTATCGCCGGTGCACTAGGTATAGTAACTTTTTCAAAATTTCAATTTGCTGAGTATTTCACTCGCAATCAGTAAAAATAGTAAAAATATTCTACTCTTGTCCGCCGCTTTCATCCTAAAAAATGTTTTGTCCGTTCAAAATCGATATAGTACACAACGTCGGTGTTTCAGGCATAATATTCGGTTGGATCAGCGTGATTCTGATCGATCGATCCGGCAGAAGAATCCTCGTAGCAATGTCCTGCTGCGGCGTAATCACCGCGATGGTGCTTTTGATATTACATTTTACGCTGGTGGATCTGGAGTACGATCCAAAAAGTAGCGAGTGGATGACAATACTCGCTATGATGTTTTTCATGACGTTGGCCCTTGGTTTGGTACCTGTTCCGAACACGTTGCTCGGCGAACTTTTCCCCCGCGATCTAAGGAGCATCGCCGGTTTTATCGCCAGCTTCACTTCCGCTTTATTTGCATTCATCTGTAGCGTAACTTTTCATCCGATGGTCACAGCGTTTTCCGAGAAATCTGTGTTCATTTGTTACGCATTGGTGATGATTGGCGGTCTGGCATTCTCGCTCACCTGCGTACCGGAAACCAAAGGAAAAACCTTGCAGGTAAATCTTGTGGCTCTTAATGTATCACAGTTAATCCTTTAATTGTAAGGTCGTTGCACGATATTTTCAATATTTAAATTAAATTATGTTAATTTGTAATATGAAAATTATGAAAACCGGTATGTTGGGTGATTAATGTACTACCTACAGGAAATACAAGAAATGATGGACAATCGGAATCAACGAGGACAAGAGACGGCAATAGAGAGCAGTTTGTATGAAAATGAAACATGACATTAAAGAATCAACGATCTCAATAATTAAGCAATGTTTTTTTTACAAACGACTGTGTCAATTACCTGTAACTTCTACTTGTATCATATAAAATAAGAAGCAATAAAGCTACTGTTCCCTTGATGATGACGGAAATGTGGTGAATCATAAATATTTAGCTGCTTCGTTCGACCGTGAGTGAAACTACACGGGAATTACACGTGTCTTATCTTATCACGGCGGTTTGTCAAAAGGCATTAAATAATAAGTAACCGGTAAGAGAACAGAAATTATATACGAGATCGCAAATTTCCTTGTATGAGATGAAGCTTTTCAAGTTTAATATCAGATCAACGTTAATCGGGATTTGAAAAATTTCACAGAATATGTTTAGTATTAAAAATTGTATTCATAAACTTCCGCATAAAAAAAAATAAGAGAAAAGTAACAAACCCTTTCGTTAAATTCACTGCAAAATTATGCATACCACAAACATGACGTCAACGCTAATAAAACTGACATAAATATACTTTCATCGCACTCGTAAAACAGTAAGTCCTTTCCTGCTCCACTCACTTGAATTTGTTCTAGTCTATAAAGAAGAGATAAAAATGTTTTTTATCCCGTGTTAAATTCTCGTCGAGTGCATCAAAACTTTGAAAAATTTGCATCCCTTTCAAACTGATCCTAAAGGATACGCTAAATCGTTGTAACGACGAAGAAGTTTTCTTTCATTCATTGGTAATTTGAAAATTTTAAGCGTTATAAAAGACTCGGTTTTAAAACTATCGGTTCCTTTGGTGAAATATTTCGAAAAAAAATATTTTCCTGCGCGGTGTTAACTTTCAGAAAACGCAGCGTAAACAAAATGAACGACTGCAAAACGACTAATACCATTTGTAATACCTGTTATCAGTATAGCGAAAAACAAACAATTACTCTCCTAACATTTAAACAGCTCCTGTAAAGAAGCGAAGACAGTTTGTAAATATCTTATCTGTTCGAAACAAATTATACGCTGCGCTTGCTATCATTACTTTCAAAGGCATTTAATGTTGATGCCTGTTACACCACTATCAGTCGTTTTATACCAGTGGTGTCGACATGACCGCGGAAAGAGGTGAGAAGTTGATCCGTAGGGTAACGTGGCCACAATGGATCGCTGGTATCGAAGGTAATTAGTAATTTCACTCTTCTGCATCACTAAATATAAGATATAGAAAATTATCGCGGTTTTAAAAAATGAAGAAAAACAAGTTCTCTCCGTCCCGGCAGGGAACATCTAACATTTCAACATTTTAAGTGCCCCAGGATTTTGTTTATCATAGTTGCATTTGCTCTACGTTTGTAGCAAACCGGAGGGCCGAAAGAACCGATTGAAAGGAGAAAAGCTTGGTTTTACTTTCTTTTCAGACGACTAGCGGTTGCATCGGTAATCCATCGATTTCCAATTTGTTCGCAGTTTTGTTGTTAGTGACTCAAGTCGGATCAATAGGAGCCTGGTCATCTCCGTACATCGGCCAGTTAACTTCCACCGAATCCGAACCCGTGCTCACGATGACAGAAGTATCTTGGGTGGTGTCGTTGATGAACGTAGGAAGGCTGTTCGGGGCAATCTTCGGTGCATTGTGCGTCAACTATCTCGGCAGTAAAACGACAGTTCTGATCACCAGTATACCGGTGGCTTTCTGTTGGCTCTTCATGTTACTGGCTGACAGCGTCGAGTGGTTGTACGCCGCCAGAATCTCCGGCGGCGCCAGCTTAGGCATGATCTATAGCTGTTTTTCTCTGTATCTGGCAGAAATAGCGGATCCAAAAATTCGAGGCGCCTTGATTGCCGTTGGTATGACCGGTTTACCATTTGGCAACTTGATTATCTGCATCATGGGAGCTTATCTACCTTTCAAGGTGTCAGCAGCGATCGCCCTCGGTCCTTGTATCATCTTGACGGTCTTCCTATTTCTGCTACCGGAATCACCGCATCATTTGATCAAGAAGCACATGGACGAGAAGGCAAAGGCGTCGATACGCTGGTATCATCGCAACTGTGACCTCGAATCGGAATTTAACAATTTAGAAAAGTTTCTGAATCTCCGTGACCAATCGTTACTCGATACTCTGAAAGAGCTCAAGGCACCGCATTTCAGGAAGTCGATCCTCATAGTCAGTGTACTGTTTATTTACAGTCAGCTGTCTGGAATTAACAATATCCTGCTGTACATGGAATCCATCTTAACATTGGCTAAAGTTAGCGTATTAGGACCCGCGCAAGTGGTGATAATAGTGATGTGTTTTGGAAACATTGGATCGTTTCTCTCCTCCTTTCTGATGGATCGATTCGGCAGAAGAGTGTTGCTAATCGTGTCGTGCGTCGGTGTAGCGACATCCATGTGCATGTTGTCGCTCGAGTTTCAACTGTTGAACTTTGGTTTCCAGCCAGAAACAGTGGAAGGTGTGTCGATATTCGCCATGCTTTTCTTTTACATTAGCGCGTTCGGTGGCATCATTCCTGTACCAGCGACGATTCTCAGCGAAATCTTTCCGTCACACTTGAAATGTTACGCCGCGTGCATCACCAGTTGCACGAGCGCCATATTTGGCTTCATTTCCACCAGTACTTACCTACCTTTGCTTCATCTAATGACCGAACGATATGTGTTTTTCTTCTACGGTTTCTGCTTGCTAACAGCTATACCGTTCACGTTGTTCTGTGTACCGGAGACTAAAGGATTGACTTTGCAAGAGATTCAAAGTCAATTGATAGATAAGAAATAGATCTGTCGTAAACATTTGAACGTCACGATCACACGCATCGTGTGATCCCGAATACTTGTTTCTACTACTTTTGATGCTTTAATGTGACGAAGTATTTTCAAAAAAAAAAAACTTTTCCTCGAATTCGATTAACGTGTTTATTTGTTCAGTTTTCTTTTTTCTTTTTGTATCAATAAACATGGAAGTTTGAGGAAAACGGAGCAGAAACTGTAATCTGACGGAACTTGCTCTCCGAGGATCGTCCAAGTTTGATGGATATTTCATTGGAAAGCAGATTTCGAGGAATTTCCAAGCAAAGATTCGGATAATAGAAGGAACGGTCGCGATGCCTGATGTTCTTTTGCTTTCCGTTCTTCCCTTAACCGAGAAACGATGTAGCTATTTCTCTTCGGAGCGGACACTCGCCCTCGTAACGTCGACGATGGAACTCGGCCAGTTTCATATTTTACAAGACGATGCTTCAACCACGCTGGCTGGCTGGCTATGCCAACCGCGTTAAAGTTGCCACGCTCCCATGACGGCACCGTTGAAAATTCTACACCATCTTATCTCGCTCGGGTCACTGCACGATGATTTGCCCATTGATGACGTTATAAACGTCCGAGCGTCAATAAAAATTTACGATTCATTCTTCTTTTCTGTCCGACTACGCGCTAACCTCACGATATCGATCCACTAGAACTGCACGAGTTCCCAAAATTACGGGTACCTCTGATCGACGAGTGATCGATCGAATCTAATGGTGGAAAAAATTTTAATCGCTCAAAATGAATAATTGCATCATGCATATTGTTGACATTTTATGCGATACAGTACCTACGATTACTATTTACAGTAACGTTTATCAAATAAACAAATTTAATATTTAGAGCATGTATTATTAACTCTGATACGTCATTCGAATCCAATTAACTCGACCCAGGAATCTGATATTTAATTGATTTTTAATAAAACGATCAATCTAAGCGAAATTTATTGAGTATCATTAAAATTATATCGTCTTTGATTAAAATCACGTTTCAAATACCTATTGTTGTTTGAATGAGCTTATCGTCTTGTCTTTTGAAGGAGTTAAGCAGTTGTTTTAAAATAATAAAATAAAATGTCCTAAAATAATTGTAGCATATAAGTGTTTATAATGTTTAACCCAGTATTTCTGCGCTTGTGTATTTATTATTTGAAAATATATACAATAAATGTTTCTATATAACTTTGCATATTTCATTTCATGCATTTTCATCTCCTCGGGTCCATTGCATTCAATTATCATTTTAAATTTACTACCGCGTTACTCGATCGAGTTTGGAGAACCATGAAAACCAATAACTATTTGCCGCACAGAGAATAATGGACACGATCAACTTTGTCCTACAAAGTTCACCGATGTCACTGAATTATTATATCTAACGATTCGATAAGCCGATTTCCAGTAAATCTAACTTTAGAAAAGAAAAGATCAGAGGAATTACGGTAATTAATACCGTGTCCGTTTCGCGAACAGAAAGATGCATCCAGCTATTAATGCAGTCTGTTCAGCCTCATGTAATATTCATGTCACTTTTTCTTCCCGCTATCGAATCGCGTCGACTTCCCTTACGATTTTTCATCCCTTTGTCGAAACGATCGTTACAGCTTAGCGGACAGTAAAGAAAAAAAACACGTCGTAAAGGGACGATTGCCGGTTGGAAATAAAGCGGAATATTCAGGAGGGTTATTGACGGTGAACGAGTCGTTCAGGCAACGATTCGTTAACTTTTAACAATATATTCTCTTCGTAAGATTTTCTTGAAAATTCCGTTGTTAGATTTTTCAGCACCTCTTCGTTGACGCATACGGGACGCAAAGATACCCGACCGTCTTCTTAACATTTTCACCAGAACGAACGAGATAGTTTATCGTCATCCTGATATAAACGCTTCCCTTGACAAAGCCGCGGAAATTATACGCTCGAAGGCAGCCATTGTATGTCGTCGGTTTTCTTCGAGTCCCAGACGCCGTATGGTGTTTATCGTAAAACCAACGTATCGTAGATTCACTCGTTTGAAAGCGTTAAAGGGACACTAACGCGTTTCTATCTTTGGTGCTTGCATGGATATTCTCGATCGATCATATGAAAAAAAAAGAAAAAAATCTATCTTTTAATTTTTCAATCTTTTACACCCTCTTTCACTCTGATATACGAACCACTCGTGGAGATAGCGAACCGTGAATGTAATCGCTGTTCGAACACCAACTTAATCATTTTCCCACCTACAACTATGTGCATTCGTTTCAGAACTTCTAATCGCTTTAAAGCTGTCTGCAACTAAACCGAGTCAATTACCCTGTCAACCCACCCTGCTAGATTCTCTTATCTAACACGGCTATTATAGCGCTAAATCTGATAATGCCGAACGAATTATCAGCTCCTAAAGTAGTTTGCTCGATGAAGCATCGTTACTTTGTTAAATCCAACGAATTTCACGTTGACCTGTGTAGAGAGCTTTATGCATTTCTAAAGTTATCGCGACATCCAGAGGGTAATTACGTAAATGAACATTCAGAAATCGATCGCCTCGCAATTACCATCCACTCGTTTCGAATTGATGGAGAACGAAAGCTTTCGATTCTTGCAGCCGAAAATGGAACCGCACGATCATTCGTCACGTTCGTTTAGACCCGTGGTTTAATTTACTTCGACAGTAGTCTTGAAACGGGATACAACACAAAAGCACCCACGAGGCCGACGACGGACATTATCGCCGTTACGTTGCTGTCCAGCGTAAATAGATTTACCTTTTAACGCGGTTTAATCGTTATTACCGTTAGAAAAATAATTGCGAAGCTATGAGAAAGTTTGGTAAAAGAGGAGTTTCTTAAATTCAGTGAAACGCCTCGTCGAAGGGCAAAGAAAAATCACGCGTGCACACAAGGTGCAATAACGGAATACCTTCGAGTTTCGGTCAATAGAGAAGTTCCGAAAACAATTTTGCAATGCAATAACCCTTCGCGCCACGGCAATCGCCGAACTTTCCTCGAAGCCTTTCCCGTTCCCATATCCCGCAGTCTGAGGATCTTAAAATTCAACGAACCTCGGGAGCGTTGGATCGTCTTTCCACTTACAAACAGGGATTTCGTTCCTTCCAGCTTTTCTTTCCTCGAATCGTACTGAAAGAGCAGCGAGCAGTTTGATCGGCCGTAAAAATCAAAAGATCGCTCGCGCTAGTACTCGTTGAATCGCCTCTATTCCAGCCGGTTACACGGCCCAGACAAGCTGCGAACCTTCTTTCATTTCCACGTGAAAATGGTCGCGTTATCCTGTCAGCTTGAATGCAAGGAATATCAGTCCGGTGCGCAGGAAATCGAATCGCGAATCGAAGTAATTTTTTATCGGTTAACGTTGAGTTTAACCGCTTTCTTTGCTCGCTGTCCGATATAAAGGAGATATCCTTCGGAGATAGCCAGCGAAAGAGGAAGATTTTTCTAATAAAATTTTATCACCCACGATTCGTGCTGATCCGCAAAATCGGACAAAGTGTTTAGGTCCATCGAACGAAGTACTGTGTGATTTGGTAAAATAATAGGGATTGAAGCGTCGTAACGGAGATAAGAAGTTCGATGCACCATGGGCATGGAACGAAGGAAAATGTAGGCTAGTAGTACGTCACGGAAAGGCCGGAATTGGTTGGTCGCCAAGTCGTTGGATAGTCAATGGAACGAAGATAGGAAAGGGGAACGAATCAGAGTCGGTAACCTAAATTCTCGTGCGACGACTTGCAACGATCCCTTTGAAGCTGCCTGTACCGCTTCCGTTGGATCAATGATACTCGCGGTTAACTGTACGCAGTGTTGCATTGCGATACACCGTTTACGTGATACATGGAAACCTATCCCGACCGTGTACGATCGCGAACAATCGAAAAGAAAAAAGAATCCTCTCTGATCACTGTCCGAGAGCGTACGTTTTCAACAGAAGCTATGAATTAATCGAAAGGAAAAACAATCGGGTGTAGGATGCGTACGATTTTAGCAAAACAAAAAGAAAATACGCGAATCGGTTCAAACCGCCCGAGTCAAAAACACCGTGAAAAGTCGAAATATCTTTCGTTTCAAAAAATAAAAAACGAAAATCAGAATCGAAATTTTATGGATAAGATAAAAATGACATTTTTTAACGACGAATTGAAAGTAAGAAGCAACGAAGTGTTCGCAGGAAGACGGATTCGGAGCAAATATGCTCACGGTAACCTTCTTGTGAATATTTATACCAAGAAAATGAAGCTGCAAGAAGCGAGTAGAAACAAGGACTCGCAAGGGATTCCTCGCGAGTCTCATAGCACTCCCACGTCCCTACATCTTTCTTCAGATACACCCGACATCAATTTTCCATCTTTATTCCTTCTCGCGTCTTTCTGACCTAGTTTCTCCAGTTGTTTTCGTAAATTACGTTACTCGACCTGGCTCGACCTGAGTCGTAACTTCAAAAACGCTTCATAGCAGTTGATAGCTTTTGTGCTTGATTTATAAGAAAATTAATCATCTGGCAAAATCCTTTTACGTCAGCGGCCGATGGTCCGAAATAAAAAATGATAACCGAAAATAACACCACAATAAAACAAAACTACACCTCGACGTTTAATTAAAGCACCCAGTGCGGTTATGATCCTTTGTTCTTGTTGCTCCGTCTCCATTCGATACGAAAGAGGAGAAACTACGTGTTTTCTGAAATTATCCACGAGAAGTAATACGAGGAAAAGGTAGTTAGAAGATAGGTTCAAAGAATAACACGTTCCTGCCCGTAGGAAACGCGAGGAAATGATTCCTCTGTTCTGTCTCGACTCGTATCGCGTTACCAATCATCTCTACAAATGAACAAGAAATACATAAAGTTAGAAAAGGAGGACGTAACGTCTAGATTGCATAATTTCTTTTTAGAAACTTTGGTTTTTGTTTTGAAAAATGGATATTTGCCATAGGATATCGATTCGATTTACGGATAAACGGAATCGAGAAAGTAGGAACATCAGAGGACTGATGGTGGAAGGTAGGTACGAATGCAAAGAATCTGGGTTCGATTTCCGGTGGCGACGGTCCCTATTTTTCACCAATTCCTACATATACGATTACCTCTGCGAGAAACGATAGGAGAACACTTCCGGTACTCGCCAGCAGAAGGACGTCTACGATCATTCGTTGGGCAGAAAGGGAATTTACTGGTGTAATAAAAGTCCTGTATTTTAGGCGGAAATCTAATAAGGAGTCTTTTCGAAGAGTTCGCAAGCAGTTTTTTTCCTTTCTTCTCCTTTCCATTTTTTCATAATTTATTTTTACTATAACGTTACGACGCGACGCCCGAATATTCCTTTGGCTCTCGTAACTTTCTTCTGCTTCTTCTGCCTCTTTGAACTTTCTCCTCACGTGCATCTCTTATACCACGAAAGATGAAATATGCCCGATACCCCAGAGCTTTCGACGTCGAACTCGATCGCCAACATCCTTCGCCTTACAACATCGAAGGCTACTCGAACAGACAAACTTGGAAAACCACGTTTGATCCGTTCAATTATTCGCTCCATAGATGTTTCGTGTGTAAAGTATTCCTTTGGAAATCGTTCGTGTCCAAGAACGTAGGACGGTTGTTTGATTTAAACGCCATCTCGCAAGCTGTTTTGTTTTTAAATCTGCTGCTTCACGGCGTTGACTACTCTCGGAATTTTCATGGAAAATATATCGAGAGGTTGACATTTTTCATATTCTAGTTCACATTTCATATCCTTTTTCATTTTTTATACGGTATCATTGAAATGCACAGCTGTATCCTGGATTTTATATTTTTCAATTTTCGTATACTGGATTTTGAAAATTCAAGTATAATAAAAATCTGACGAC